CTTTCTTATTTATATATTGTTTGACCACATTATAATGAATGCGTATTTTTACTAAAACGGTCATGTGCACGTCTTCTCCTGTTTTGTCTTTCAAAAACTATCTCATGTGTTCTTCTATGAGGATGTCTGTTCTGTCCCTGTCCCACCTACTTGCTACAAAATGTCAATATTTATCATTCAAAGCTTCATTGAACTATAACCTCTTCTTGAATTATTCCCTACCGGCCCAAACAATAATAACTGTGCCTACCCTATACTTTAATTACCTGTTTACTTGTCTTTCTTCCATATTAGAGAGACTATCGGCTTTTTGGGGGCCTTGATCTCCTTCACCTTGTATCTCCAGGACTACAAATAGTGCCAGTACATGGTAGCTGCTCAGTTTTTTTTTTAAGATTGGTACTTGAACTAACGTCTGTTGCCAATCTTTTTCTTTTTCTTTTTTTCTTCTTCTTCTTCTTCTCCCCCAGGCTCCCCCAGTACATAGTTGTATATTCTAGTTGTAGGTCCTTTTGGTTGTGTTATGTGGGACACCACCTCAGCATGGCTTGATGAGCAGTGCTAGGTCCACGCCCAGGATCTGAATCAGCAAAACCCTGGGCCACTGAAGCGGAGCACACGAACTTAACCACTCGACCACAGGGCCGGCCCCTGCTCAAGATATTTTTATTGAATTAAATTAAATATTGTTTCCTAGCTGGATGCCAATGGGCTGATGGGCAAGGAAACCAGCTATATCAAGGTCTCAGGGCTCTCATCTTAATTCCACCGGGTTTTGACCTCAGGGGCATAATTGATATTACTTATTCAGATAGCTTTCCTTTAACTTGAATTTGGAGAAGGGCAGCACCCTAAACATTTCTGAGAACTGGGAGATGGCCGCCAGCCCGGAGAACAGGGCTTGCCTCCTGATGTAACTTTACCAATGCTTTTTCTTCCTAGTATTTGTCTTTCAAACAAAGCTGCTTTCAAGACACAACTCTCTGCTCTCGGAAAGTACAGAGGCAACTGGCGGTCTCCTCCGTGACGGTGTATTTCTAATTAGAACAATACAATATGTTTTTTTTCCCTACTAAAAACAAAAGTCACCCACGGGGCTGAGAGTTTCACATTCTCTTCTTAGCTGAAAGGTGCCTGTTTTTCATACGCCAATAAAATTTTATTTGGCCACTTAAAAAAAACTTGTTGACAAGCAGTTGCATTTGGCTTGCCTTTTCTGGTAAGAGAGCATGTTTTTGAGGGGGCAGTCTGCTCAGGGATTAGGAGCCCAGACTCTGAGCCAGATTACTGAGTAGTCTGTCTCTACCACCTCCTCGTTGTCTGAGTCTAAGCAAGTCATCTGGTCCCTCGGAGCCTCAGTTTCCCCATTTGTAAGATGGGATGCACCCACCTCATGCCATGTTGATGGGATTAAAGGTGAACTATTTTCAAGAGTGATGGGAAACAGTAAAATTAGGTCAGCGATCACTAGAAAGTCGTCACCAAGTGTTAGCTATCATTAATATTCTTCCCTAGAAAATGTACTTGACCTAATTTAGTACAGTTTTAAAGGATAGGTTTAAAAATTAGAGTTAAATAGGTCAAGACCCATTTTGAACTTCTCCTTTCTTCTCTCTTTAAAATGAAAAAGAAATTTAACACAGATTAACAACTGAAAATGCGCTCACTTTCAGTAGGTTCTTGTCTCCACTGTTCATTGAGAAGTGCCCTGTAGTTAATAAGATCCTGCTTTGTTTTCAGTCTATTCACTCAAAGTTTCCTCTGGCAGTGTCGTGGGGTAAGAAGTGTCTCCTACTGTCAGTGCCAGGGTATAAGAACTACTTTAAAAGTCAATTTTAAGAATCAATGTATAGTTATACCTTTGTGTTAAAACTGGAGATAGTTCAGCCATCAAAAGTTCAATGAGGAAAAAAGTGCAGCCGATATGCCCTGAAGGACTATATTCAACCACAGCCAAAAATAAACACCCCACCTGAATGATTTCCTATACACTTCTGCTCTTCCTTAGCTCTCCTCCTTTATCTTCCATATTATGACCCCATGGGGCCTTGTATAGTGCAGAACATGTGAAAGGAGACTGGAAAATGGCCTTTGCTGTCTCACCTCCCACTTCTCTCTTTAAGACACTCTAATCAGGTTTATGTTTTTACCATGCAGCTAAAACTGCTCTTGTCACAGTCCCCAACAATGTCCATCTTCTGACATCTGGTCACCAGCTTCCTGTCCTCATCTTACGCAAGCTATCTGAGTCATCAGCAGTATTTGACCCAGTTTTCTCTCCTTCGTGAAAAACTTTTCATCTCTTGGCTTCCAGCACACCATGTTCTCCTGGTTTTCCGCCTACCTCAATGGCTTCTCCTTCTCAGTCTCCTTTTCTGGCTCCTCTTCCTCCAAGAGACTCTCAGTGTTGGTGTCCTCCGGGGCTTAGTCTTTGCCCTTCTTTCTCTTCTAACTTTATTCTCTCCCTAAGCTATTTCATCCTCTCTAATGGGTATAAGTGTCATCAATGTGCCATTGATTCCCAAATTTCTTTCTTTAGCTGCAGTGGTTTTAAAACACATCCACAAATAATTTGCTGTACCTCCGACCAAAGATGGAATACAATTCTTCTCCCTTTAAATATGAACCAATCTTGGTGACTTACTTCTAATGAATACAAAGAGGCAAAAGTGAATCTGTGGGATTCCTGAGATGAGGTTAGGAGATGAGGTACAGCTTCACCCTGGTTCTATCTCTCTCTCTTAGGATGTGCACCCTGGGAACCCAGCCACAAGATTTTGAGAAGTCACACAGCCACATGGATAGGCCATGTGAAGGAGTTCCAGCCTAGCCCAGTAGATGGCTGATGGCCATTATCATCAACCACCAGACATGTAAGTAAGTGAGGTTTTAGATGATCCAGAATGCAGCCTTCCAATTGCCCCAGCTGATGCCAAATGAAGCAGAAATAAGTCCCCATCAAGCCTACTCAAGTTCAAGATTTGAAACAAAATTCATGTTACTGTTGTTTTAAGCCACTAAGCTTTGGGGATTTTGTTACTCAGCCACAGATAATCAGAACACTATTTAGACCCTTCCTCTGTACTCTGGAACCTGCCCACTCAACAGCCTCACTTCAATATATTACAGAAAATTCAACTTCTTATGGCAAAAAAGAACTCATGATTTCCTCCACAAAACTGACTCCTCCCCCTTCTTCCCTTCCTTAGTCAAAGGCACCACCACTCAGTCCATTTCTCAGCCAAAAACCTGGGAATCCTCATTGAATAAGGCCTTTTCTTCACATCACAGATCCAATCTATCAGCAAATTCTGTGACTACCCTCAAAATAGGTCCCTGAGATGGCCATTTCTAACTGCCTTCACCATCATCTGTTATAATCATCGCCACCATCTTCTCTTACAATGCCTAAAGCAGTACGTGAGGCTTCTAAAATGCTTGCCTGTTTACGCTGATACAGTCTAATCGCTGGACAAGCATCCTCTGCCAACATGCTTGAATGACTTCCCATTTGACTTACCGCAATGTCTGGGTCCTTATTGTGGCCTACAGGGTCACATACGAATGGGCCCCTGCCTTTAGCTCCAGTTTTATCTCCAACCACTTGCTCACTCAGTTCATTTGTTTCTGTCACAGTGGCCTTTTTGCTTTTCCTGGAACAGGCTACACTCATTCCTGTTCCTGACTGGCTGTTTTTTTGTCTGTCTGAGAGGCTCTTTTCCCCAAATCACATGACTTTTTCTTTCAGGACGTTCAGGTCTCTGCTCACACATCCTCTTGTCAAAGAGGCCTTCTTCCATATGTTAAGTGCTCCACTGGCTTCTATTACTCTCTATCCTCTTGTGATTTTTTATCTTTCATGGACTTTTCCCCATCTGAAATGATATTTATTCATTCACTGTTGACTCTCTCCCAGATGGGAATCCAGGTTTCCTAAGCACAGAGACTTTTCACCATTCTTTATGCTTTTGTCTTTCTCAGTGTCGAGAGGAATACCTGCCACAGCTGTGAGCAGTCCATACGTATCTGATAAACTTTATTCAATAAAGAAATAGTTCAGTCAATTAATACGTGTGCTTGATTTTATTAGTTGGATTAAATATGTGTGAAGCTTTTTACTGATATCTAAGCTATTTCCATCAAGGAGACTTGGTTCTCCCCATGATGAGGCCTTCTTTGCTGAACTGGTTTGACTGAATTATTCTGAGATAATTTCTGCCTCTGACATTACATGAGAGCCTTGGAAGTAAAATGATAATCGAAACATTAAAATATGTAATACAGCCTCAATACTGGGCTTCATTTTAGCCTAGGAGTTATTTATATTCATATGTAAATTCTTCTTGCCTTATTGCAATGTGGTTTTTTTGTTTAGATATTGTGAAGAACCGTGAGGGATCTGAGATCTTATCCTGCTTGCAAGCTACAAGTTAGCCTGCCACAGATTTATGGATGCAGGCAAAAGACACAAAATCTGGGTGAGACCAAAGACAGTTTATTACTCACAGCAATACCAGTCGCAGGATATCAGCATTTTCTTGCACTGGTTCCCAGAACCCCAGTTCCCAGAGGCCAACATGACCAGGGCCAGGTGACACTGGCACTTGCAGTGGGTTGTGTCATAGGAGAGAAATCCTGAGTTTAGGAAACCCCGATCTTTTATAATGGATTGCAAGCAAATCTGTTCAATCTCACCTCCAAGAGAGATGCTCTCCTTACTAAACTGCACAGTAAATAAAACTGCCCTCTTTTCCACAAGGAGACACTATCTCTGTCTTCCAAAGCCATTTGTTTTGTAACAACTTTGAAAGGATAGTCCAGAAAAATGCTGTCATTGACTCTGCTCATAAAACATGCAGGAACACAAAAGACTCATGCAGAATTGTCTCCTGTTATGGACTGAATATTTGTGTACCCCCCCCCAAATTTTTATGTTGAAGCCCTAATCCTCAATGTGGCAAGAATTTGTGGGGCCTTTGAGAGGTAATTAGCATGAAATGAAGTCATAAGGGTGGGACCTCATGATGGTTTTAGTGCCTTTATTAGAAGAGACCTCAGAGAGCTTGCTCCCTCTCTGAGTGAGCACAAAGAAGAGATGATGTGAGCACACACAGAAGTGGCAGCCACCTACAAGCCAAGAGAATAGGCCTTAGAGTGAAACCAACCTTGCCAGCACCTTATCTTGGCCTTCCCAGCCTCCAGAACTGTGAGAAATAAATTTCTTTTGTTTAAGCCCCCCAAACTCTGGGATTCTGTTATGGCAACCTGAACTAAACGAAGACATCTCGCAACAGACATTTCCTTTGTACTGTCTTTTTTTCTTTTTTTGTATGAAAGGTTTTTCTTAACACAATTAGCTAATAAAAATATTTGGGCAGACAGCTATCAGAAAAAATGACCAATACTGCAGCGATTTAAAAATATTATTACATCAAATGAAGCAAGATCTCAGTTTTAATTGACTATTGGTTACTCAGTATTTTGTTTAGTCTTTTTCAGCAAATAGGCTTTCATCACATAATGAGAAATCTGGAAATAGCATTGAACTGATATAGTGACTCACTGAAGCATAAGAGACCCACGCTCCTGTCATTTTTCTGCTCTGCCCACCTTATGTGGTGGTAAGATATAGGGCAGAGCATTGGTCCGTCCATAGACTGTGGTGCGGGAAACAGAATTGGATTAGGGGTCAAAATGTTGGTGCTGCCATTTAGTGTTAATGTCAGTTTGACCAAGCCATTGTGTCTTCCTGAGCCTCTCTGTGCTGAACTGTAAAATGACAATAATGGAAATATTCATTCTATATGCTTCAAAGAGTTATTATGAGGATCACAAATGCAAATGTGAATGTTGACAAAGAGCTGATTTGAATCTTAAGCAGAATTGATTTTTTTCACAGCACATTTATCACCTAAATTATTAGGGAACACATAATTTTAAAATATTGCAAGGTGATGAGTGTCAAGTGACTAAGGAGAGACCACAAATCTATTGAGTGTACAGCTATCACTTGTCTATCTCATCCTCTAGGTCTGTGTGCTGAAGCCACATGAAAGTATTTACTACTCCAGGGAAATATTATGAAATTTTAAGCTCTGGGACTTTACACAAACTGCTTCTTCTATTGACAATGCATTGTCCCTTCTATTTATGCTTGGTATTCAGTCTTTGATGCCAGGTTAAGTATTGATTTTGGAATCTCTTTCCCAGACTCCTTGGACCAACTGGGCTCTCATTGTGGCCATTTTGTGGTTATCAGAGCATCTCATCTTTACGTTCATGTGTATCTGTTTATCCCACTGAGTAGTGAATACTTTGATGATTAGGGATTCCATTTGATTTACCTTAGAATTCTCAGTACGCAGAAGTATCCGACTCTTGTGGGTGTTTAAATTATATTTGATGAAAGAAAAGGAGAGAGAAAGAGGGTGGAGAGAAGGACAAAGGAAGGGAGGGAAGAAGAGAGAAAGGGAGGAAAAGGAATTCTGAAAAATGTAACACCATTTTTAATATTCATTCATCATGGTATTATGGATAAGAACATGGACTCTGGAGCTGAACACCTGAGTTGAATTGCAGCTCAATTCCCTATTGATTGTGAACCTTTAACATATTAATTATCTTTTCTGAGCCTCATATTCCTCATCTATAAAATAATATAATACTAGCAGCTACTTGATAGGGTTTTTGTGAGGATTAAATGAATCAGCCCATAAAAACAACTTAGAACTGTATGTATCCCCTCAATAAGCATTAGCCACCAAGGTTAACATTGGCGCATCTCTCTCTGATACCACGACCAAATAATATGTGGTGACTACAATTTCAGAGCTTAATTGTTTTTCAGAGGGCATCTTTGAGATATTTCTTGTTAATGGATATTTTGATCAGGTAGTAAGCCAATCTTGTTAAAAGAAGTTTGTAGACAATTTGATTAGATTTTGGGAAAGCTATCCTTTGTTTGTCACATTGATCGTGTCCATTGTTACATACCACTTTCATGTTTATTTTCATTTTTAGTGTGTGTGATAACACTCTTTTTGGAAAACATGTCCTGCCGGGATTGATGGGAAAACTAAAACTCCCCATCCTTTGCTGAGCTTTCCTGGAGATCACTGTCATTTGAAAACTAACGCAAAACTCTTGGTCAGATATTTAGTTTGACCCAACCCCACTAATAGGTAACAGGTAAGATTCGAATTTCCTGGCTTTACTAAATCTACAAGAATAGATTTTAGTATCATCCACTGTAGCCTCTGCTTTACAGATACAGAAGCCCTGTGAAGAGGTACAACGTCTAAGACCACTCAGCCACTCAAGCAATGCCAATTCTGGAACACAGCTCTCCAGATTCTCAGGTGCTCTGATGTTCACAGTGCCAAATGAAAATGGTCAGTTGTTGATGCTACATATTCCCTTCCACTAGAAAACTATTATCACTTTATTATTAAACATTTTTCTCTTTCTGCTTGAGGAAAATCATATTTTGGATGTTAAATATAAAGTAAAAAATTCCAGTGTTATAAGAGCTATAAATATGGTAGAATGTTTAAAAATTAGACGTTATAACAGATGATAGATTTTATTATTTTGATTTTGTCTAATTTTTTCTAGGCATAAATAATTGAAAAATACATGATATTTTGACCTGTATTGTTTTAGGACACAGACTAATGCTTGGGAATACTTGAGTTTTGTTTTAAGCAATAATGCTACTTGCTTACTACTGCAGCCTTGATTTCATGCCAGGAACCTGTATCACTTTATTTGAAAAAGCCACCAATGTTCATCTTCCAGTTGGTCAGGCATTGACCCCTGATGTTGCCATCAGTTTGTCATCCCCTGATGAATATCCCAGGCCATGCACATTCCACACGGAGATTCTATGTGGAAGGTAAAACGTACTCTATGACACTATGACATTGTCTGGAGAAGACTGTTAATGCTCTGTGAACATTCCCACGGAGAGATCTGACCTCTGTTCATCACAAACAGGAACTTTTTTTCTTTTTTTTAAAACCAGAAGCTACAGTGAGAGAGGAAACGATGCTGATTTCTGGGAGAAGTGGTATTGGAGCGTCTGTTTGCTGGCTCTCAGAACAATTGTGGGAAGCCCCACAGAGCTTGTCCTTTTTACTCAAAATAATGGAAAGCACTTCCACTCCTCTGCGGAAACAGAAATTCAAAGACAGGACACAGAGTCTCTAAGCTCTGGCAGCTTTTAGACAGTGTTTTTTCCCCCCTCACTGGTAAACTGAAAGAGGACTCTCCTTGTAGGTGAATTGGTGTGATGTGGTTCTCACCATGTATTCCACCATGCTATTTGCCTTTGGAAATAAAACCTTCTGGCCTGTCTGGTCCCATTCCTTTATTGAATAAATGTGCACTAATCCCTTTCTCTGCATTGAGCTAGGCTGTGAGGAAGCAAAAAGGTGTAAGATACTCTCCCTGCCCTCAAGAAATGTATAATCTAGACAGACACATGAACTGAAAAGTATACCATTTGGAGAGCAATTAGGCAATCTGTAATCTAACTGCTGTGAGTGAGCACTCTTTCTCCTGTTATCTACGCCAGGGAAAGGCTCATCTAAACTCTTAAAGGTTTAGCAACCAGGTGGAGGCAATATAGGTTCCATCACCTTGGAAGCACGTTATGAGATGCTTTGTGGCTGTTCGAATCAAAGAATTAGATTTAACAAAATAACACAGAATGCTGATTAAATTAAAAAGGAAGAAACAGAAAAAAAAAATCTATAACAATACCATACATGTAAATTAAGATACACTCACACAAATCAACAATGCCCATTTACCGTACAAATAAAACGATATATGGAAACACACTTAAAGGATGGCCTTCAGTGTGGAGGGCCATGGGTATGGAGACTGTCGATTAAAAGGGATTGGATAAATACATAAATAAGACAAGAGGGGTCTTTGTTGATTATTAATCATCACGTGACACAACCTGAGGAGTATGAATAACTCAATCCTCAACCAAATTCCTAAAATGGATAAGGAAAGAAAAAAGCTAATTACAATTCAGAGCAGGAAGTGAGCTTAGCATTCAATATTATTGCAGAGAGGATTAATAAAATCAGCCTTGGGGATCCAGGAAAATGTTTTGGAGGAGGTGACATCTGGATTGAGCCTTAAATGCCCAATCTCACAGCTGTAACCATTTCCTTTACCACATACAGGCTTGTTCTTACCCTTGAATCTGAATCTGAAGCCCTCCCCCCCAGTGATATTGATGAGCTCTCATCTTATTTATTCCAAATCTATTGGAGTGGGTACTATTGCAGGCCAGGAAATAGAAGTTCAAAGAGCAACTGGCCTTAACTTCTTAGCTAGAGCATACCATGCCTAGAGCCATTCTCTCTAACGCGGCAGCCTCCATCACACTCAGTGAGGTATAAATCCATCCTGGTCATCCCATTCCAATTTTGTGCCCTAGGCTTTTACAGTGTTCTGGGGTTTTTTCTTTTTCTTTTTTTCTTTTTTCTTTTTGTAAAATGCAACCTTGTATTTCCCTTCCAACAATTAGGTCCTGGCTTACTCCACCATGGTCCAGCCAGGTGAGACCCACCATCCTACCATTTGATTCCTTTGTCTCTCTGGGACTGTGTATTATCTGCTTCTGCCCGGAGTCCTCAGGAACCAGACTCCTGCCATGTGCTAGCCTTGCAGCTAAGCCCACTGTGTGATGCTAACAGTCTATCGTGGAGAGATTCTCCCACTCTGCTTGCCAGACCCTCCCTCTTGCCCTCTTGCCTTTCATCATTGATCACTGTTTACCTTTTCCAACTTAGTCTCCTCGTCACCGCTCTGTCTGCCAGTCTGGTCCTTCCCTGGTACTGTGATGCTGGGGATGCCACCAAGTGTAGCTGACATAGGCTGGTGGGAGTGACCTAGTGTAAGAGGTTATGCACTGGGCCCCAAAGCTAGGCTTCCTGGGTGAAAATTCAGATATTCAACTAATTCACTGCACAGGCATAAGCAGGTTATTTAATTTCAGTGCCTGTGAATGAGAAGAGGAATATTACATCATAGAAATCAGGATTTTTGTAACCCTTAAAAGAATTGATATGTGCAAAGTACTTATAGCAGTATCTGCCAGGAAGCAAGTACTCTGGGAATGTTATCCACACTGTTATTATCTCCAGGTTTAATCCTCCCTGGGATGCTTGCCTCATTCCTAACAACTTCAGTTCTGGCTCTGAGAATCACCAGAAAAAAAAATTAGGTAATATTTATTTTTTTTAGCTAAAAAGAATTGTTTTATTTGGAAAATGAAATACAGTATAGTGGGAACAGCTCAGAATCTGATTTCAGACGACCTAGGTCAGGTCACAGCTGTCCCTTTCTCGCTATGTGGTGCTGGGGAAGTTGATGTCCCTTAGCCTGTTTCTCATTTTTGAAATGGAAATAATAATGACCTATACCTCCCAGGATAGTATGAGGATTCAGCAAGGTAAAGCTTGTGAAAGCCCTTTTGTAAATGGTGCTATGCTAATATTTGTGACTGTTGTCATTGTTCTCTATCATTTGTTTCAGGCCGCTAGAAACTATGTCATAATACTTCCTGTACAGTCAGTGAGTGATAACCCTAATTCAATATTCCAGGAGCAAAGTTGGTCTTTCATGATGGTTAAGTCTCATATTTTGAATGAACTGGCCCAATTCATTGTGACCCTAGAGAAAAACAATCAGTGTATGAAGCGAAGTCCGTTACTAATAGATTATCTTTTAAAATGTGAAAAACAAGCACCACATACACACATGTACAAACTTAAATTTTTCCTTTCTATGTCTCACTTACAACTTATTCTTCATCTGTTAGTAGAATCAACAGGACAGAGCAACTCAGAAAAACTAAGACTTTCCTCGAATAGACAATGGCTATATTATTTGATGATTGCATCATCCTAGGAAGTAGAAGACATAGTGGTATCCCTTTGTACAGATGAGGCTCAGGGGAGGTGGGAATTTCCACCAACATCATCTGGCTAATTAGTGTTGAATTGAGGGCTAGTACCCAGGTGGCTGGACTTCTACCCCATACTGAAAAGAAACTCTATAAATCAAGTATAAATCAAGAAGAATTGGTATTTACTAGCCCCAGCTCTTTGCAAAGCAATAAACAGAACATAGTAAGTGGAAGTGTGTCTATTATTTTGGAAGATAATAGAAGAGATATAGATGAGGTGGCACTTCCCGTAAACACCTGATCAGATATAGTCTTCCTCCACTGGAATATATCGCAATGCATTTAAACATTACCCCAGGTTCACTAAAATACACTCCCCACGTAGATCTATGCCTGGAATGAATCCATTTGTCTGCCCATGCCCGCAGCCATTTTTCTCAGATGGACTTATGAAACCTAACCAATATGGGGTAGCAGAAATTAAAATCATGGCAGTTCTTTAGCATGAAGCATTTGTGAGTGTGAGCCCTGGGCACTAGGCCATTAACCTGTTCAATGCCCTTTTAGTATGAGTTCCATGTATTTCCTCGGGTGCCCAGTAGAGTCTAAAGGGAGGGAGGTTTTCAATGAGGGGGACTGCTAAGGACAGTCAAGGAAAGCATTATGATAAAATGAGCCTGGATAGGATCCCTCAATGATAAATGGTAACTCAAGAGGCCATGAGAGCAAAGGGAAAGAGAATAGTAGTCATTGTGGCTTTTTCTATTCCTTGACACAATCCAGTGAAGCTGAACTCCCTTCGCTTTCCTCCTGCTGCTGACTTCTCAAAGTCTGTGTGTATTATTTTCTGGGGAAAAAAAAGATACTTTAAAAATTGCAGAATTATTTATAAATAAATTGATTATTTCTTAGGCTCAAAATGTTACTAACTGGTCTTTATAACACTCAGGTTCATTTATACACTTGTAAACTTTCATTTCCAATTGCTGAATAACACCTTTAAGTTTTGTGTCTGCTATCATGCTTTTTTATAGAAGTAAAATGAAAATGGTGTATGCAGACAGGTTTTTGTTTGTTAGAGTCTATGCAGGATTAAATCAAAGACCCATAACTGCACTCCAGATTCAGTGAACAGACGATATCTGTCTTACCAATCTGCTGAATATTCATCCAGCATGCTGCTGTTGAGAGTTCTGTCTAACCAATACATTCTTTTCCCTTTCGTACATAGAGTTTTTCAACACCTAATGTGGTAAAGGATGAACACAGCTTTACCTGAATACTAACATATCGGAAAAAGGCAAATGATAGTTTCTTACATTCTTAAAAAAGCATAACAAGGACTCTGGAGCCAGACATTTATGTTCAAAGTTAGGATCTGACACCTACCAGCTCTGTGACCTTGGTTGAGTTTCTTAAACAACCTGTGCCTCAAATTCCATAACTGTAGACTGGGAATAATAATAATACCTACCTTATAGGATTATTATGCAGAAAAAATGAGTCAACATTCGTAAACCATTTAGAACAATTTTTAACACTTAAAAAATCTAGTAAGTCCTAAATAGTTTTTGTATGTATATATATA